TCGACTTCCACACTGTCACGACGACTTTCTGACGATGACATCACCAAATGACCATCAACACCAAGTACAACTAGTCTCTACTCTTCGACAACTCTCATGGCCTCGCTGATCTCTCGACGACTCCGGACGACTCACCGCCGACAATGACTCGACAAACTCTAGACGACATGGAAGCCTACTAGCTATCTGCCGATCGACGACGTTCACGAAACCCGGACTGAGTGGGGCAATCGTCAAGTGCCTGCGTGTTGCAGAGCACTCTCGATCGTTCTCTCGGTCGGTTGGGCGGAGTGTCCGGTTAGCCTCCTTCGGCGGTCTGGTCTTCTTCCCCCTCCTCTGGCGACCGCTCCATCGATCGTCTGTCGGCTGTTTCTCGCCTCGGTTTCCTCCATCATCTGCGTCGTCGTGGGTCATGAGCGTAGTATCTTGTTTGCTTGGTCTTGGTCTGCCATTGTGGTCTGTGTCCGTCTGTCGGCGTTGCCTGCATCGTCTTGTGGACGATCATGGGAAGTCATTGATCGTTGCTGGTGCACTGCGGTATAACCTGACTGGTACGCAGACATGCCTTTTCGTCGTGTGCGTGGTCGCTGACAGATGTTGTTCTGATGGGGCACAATCGAACAGCCTGCGGACATCGTAGTTACTCAGTCGATGCGAGGGACGTTATCGGCTGTTCTGATCCTGTGGCTGCTCCGCGACATCTGGTGTCTCCATGTTCCCTTTGGCGACGTGCTTAACTCTTGTCCTTTGTAGCTCTTTGGACTGCAGCTTGACTACGACGACCTCAGGATCTCATCCATTTGTCTTGATTTAAGGACAACTAATGTATACTATTTATCTCTCTCCATGCCGTGTTATAAGTCCTCCACGCCCACACCGGGCTTGTTGGCGGTGAGCGTCAGAGCCGGCGTCAGGATGACCGTCGCCTTTCAGGGGTGTCCCGACAAGCCGTTTAGTCCACATCCAGTGTAACAGTCAATGCACTCACTCTCTTCTAGCAGTCTCGCGTGCGCATGCAGAACGTGCTCAAACAAATCTTGATCTCAGGCGACGCGCGCTCAATATATATTGCCTACCTGCATACAGGAGAAAGTGTTCAATGCGTCAATGTGTATATGCCCCACATAGCTAGGTGTACCAGGAACGGACAGGCATTCAAGCGAGAGACTCCCAGACATTGAGCTGCGATCAAGGATAGCGTATAAGTGAGTTACTGCGTGACGGGATGGGCGCAGCCGGCAGATGTCTGTGGGGTTGCGAATTTGTCCAGTTGCCAGAAATACTGCTACAGTGTACACGTCCATTCCTGCACTTCCCAGCCTTCGTGCCGCTGCTTTACATGCCCCTTTGCAAATTTGTATGAATTGCGCCTGCATCATGCTGCTGTTAACGAGCTCGTTGCCTTCTCGTCAGCCCTTCGTCCAAGCTGTTCTCCACGGGTGCTCAGTGGCAATCAGCCCCCAAGTCTCATGCCAGACGCCCGACGGTGATCGGTGAACAGTGGGTACTGAGAGGACGACGACATGAAAGCTGTTACGGAGAACTCCCATTCAATGAGCGCAGTGATCGAAATGACACTGGTCCTCATCAACAATCATCATATTTTGAGAGTAGAAGTTGCCTGGTGAGAATGGGAAGCCTGAAACGTCGAGTGTGAGATCGTAGAGGGTAGGGCGAGGGACAGCCAATACCACAGCCGGACGTGATAGAGCGGCTTCGACGGACCACCAAAGCCGTGCGGCAACTCACTTGCTGCAGCTCTGCGCTGGCGTATGCCACGCAGTAGTGGAGGCCATTTCTGTTAGTGTCAGGCGTCCTTCCACCGCCATTACATCTGAACAAGGCACCAATCTTAGGAAGGCTGTGAACGGAGAGCTCCGAAAGGATATTAATCACTTGTCATGGAAGGACATCGTACCTGTCATCGGTCGCGTCGTCCCGAGACGCGCTCGATGATGACGTGCAGAGTATATCGCATCGTGGCGGCTTCGCCGATGATGTTTCATAGTGAGCTTGTACGGAACCACCGGCGGCACCTTCCTCGGGATGGAAACAGGGTACACCCACCGGGGGGATTTGTCAGACAATCAAGGTGGAGGAAGCTGGCAAGGTTGAGGCCACAGGAGTTCCGTTCATCTCAGCTCATAAGATTGGCTCCAGTCCTAGGGCGCTGGCAGGTGATTTTGACAAGCATGACCCAACTCAAGGTATTGACTGGAGCATCGATGCGTAAATAATAGAGCTTGAAGAGCTAGCTTTGACACTCTGAGCTGCCCAAGTTGTAAACGTTGTAAGCGGGGCTGGTTCGGAGGGGGAGAAACGAGCATTTGCTCACCTGGGACGCCGGGTAGACTTATAACAGTAAAACGCGGTCCTTCAAAACGCTGCGCAGTTTTATGTCCTATTTCAGCCGGCTCGCGAGACAAGAGAACAATGGCTCGAATACAACTGCCTCGAGGTTCGCTGCGTACGAATGTGTCCGCTCAGCTGTGCACAGGCCTAGGCAGAGCTGTATATCGTACAAATCGTACGAGAATACATCAGCCATTGAGAGCCGTATCGTTTTTATACCATCTTTTATGATACTGACTAGTTGAACTATAGTTTTCTCAACGTTTTTGCGCAGAGCAAATTGAGGAGATGAGGCCGACCGTCCGAAAATGTCCCAATCGGGTTGTTTCGGTATGTTGACGTCCCCATCACTGCCATCAATTGCTGCCCTCTTGGACGCTTGAGGCATTCGACGACTCGCATCTCCTCCGAGACCAACCTTTTCCCTCCTCGCCGTCCTTTCCTTCATCTTCCTAATTTCCTACAACCGTACGAGGCGAAGATACCATGTCTAGGGTAAGCTCTTCCCGCTCTAAACATCCCCTTGGACGCGGTTTCACAGCGTGAGACACAGGCTCAATTCTTGAGAGAGTACAAGCTCGTGGTCGTCGGTGGTGGTGGTCAGTATCGGATGCAGGGATCGTGCCGGGGACTTATGCTGATAAATGGGTACTGACAGGTGTCGGCAAATCGTGTCTCACCATTCAGTTCATTCAGAGTCACTTCGTCGAGGAATACGACCCGACCATTGAAGGTACGTAGCGCCGTCTTGTTCCAGCTTGGCATGTGCCGAGTACACTTCCCAAATATGCGCAGGAACATGGAACAGGGCTAATGACCGCTACCGTCCTTTGCAGACTCATACCGCAAGCAGTGCGTCATCGACGACGAGGTTGCGCTGCTTGATGTCTTGGATACGGCCGGTCAAGAAGAATACGGGTGAGTAATCAACGTCGACTACATTGCCCGTGTATTACTGGACATGCTAACAATCATTAATCTATATCACAGTGCGATGCGAGAGCAATACATGCGGACCGGCGAAGGCTTCTTGCTCGTATACTCGATCACGTCGCGAAACTCGTTCGAAGAAATCAGCACATTCTACCACCAGATCTTGCGCGTGAAAGATCAGGATACGTTCCCGGTCATCATTGTTGCAAACAAGTGCGATCTGGAGTACGAACGGCAGGTGGGAATGAACGGTATGTCTTGATGTACACAGGTTTCATAGGTCAGTGCTGAAGCGCTCACAGAGGGCCGTGATCTTGCCAAACATTTTGGGTGCAAGTTCATCGAGACGTCGGCGAAGCAGCGTATCAACGTCGATGAGGCATTCACGAACCTCGTCCGCGAGATTAGAAAGTACAACAAGGTAAAGTTCGCCCCGCTCTGGCCCGTGCAGTTTCCGTATGTCTAACGACTTCGGCAGGAACAACAAACCGGTCGTCCAGGTCAACAGAGCGGTCTCCCGGGCGCACCAGGGTCCTTCAATAACCCGAACGCAACCGACGATGGCGCTGGTGGCTGCTGTGGTGGCTGCGTCGTGGCTTAAGCGGCTGAACGCCAACCGATCCGAACGCTGTCGCGATCGTTGTCGCATGCCTTCTCTCTTCCGGCCCCCTCATCCATCATGATCTATTTCTTGCTCGTTTGCTTTCTTGTCTCTTATGGTTTTTCTCTCCCCTAGTATTTTATTCGCTGGCTCTGGTCTCCCTGTCGACTCTCTTGTGGTCGTGTCATTCGTTGCCTTCCCAGGATCGGATAATCTGGAATAGAAACCAAAGGTTATGTCGCACTCTAGGCTGCATGTTCGTTACCTCCCTAGCGACCTTTCCTTGGTAGTCGATGGTCATCGGTAACTCCAATGCATAATGCGCGTTGCGCGTCCTTGCATCATCGAATGACGCTTTTCTTCGCAAGTGGAAACTTTTTCCATGTGGAATTTCGTTGAAAAATCGTGCATACACGCCGGGAGAAGGTAATGGAGCACCATGGAATTCACCCTTGATTGGCGAGTGCTCGTTACACTGGCTGTCGCTGCCACTGAGTACCGTCTGTCGGTTCAATTTCTGCGTCATAGGTCAGCCTCACATCCTAAACAGAGGAGGCTCCACTCACTAGGTTCTGTCGTGACGTCTTCCTCATTGACAGCTCTGATTGAGTCTACCCCTAGTGCGTACAAACCTTCCACTCCATTGTTTCCGCCAAGAAGCGAAATACCCACTGTCCGGAGACGTTCGCGGTACATGGTTATCTGCTCTGGCTGAATTTCGCCCGTATTAGTCAAAACGAAGTTTTCGAAGGGTATCTGAAGGCTTTCAATATCATATGCATGCACTGCAAATGAGTCCATAACTCACAAAAATGTCTTCCCAGCCTCCGTCGTCGCGGCTGAAGAACAGACGGTGTTGCCATAGGTCACTTGTGACGGGTCCGTCCGTTTGGATGTTAACATAGTACGAGTTTCGAGTGCGAGGATGCCCTGCTGCACAAACACGCAGTGCCAGAAACTTGTGGTTGGAGACGTCGTCTGTCATCTCTCCGAACAGGGTCGACCTTGGCTTTCCGCGAAACGTCAACGTGCAGAATGGTTAGCATAACGGACAGCTACGTACCATGTTCCTGAAGCCCGCATAGCCACCTCGCACTTTGCCCTCAAACCCTGGTTTTGCAGACAACCTCATCTCGCCCCAGAACTTGGCGTGGGGTCTCGGGGGCTGCAGCGCTTTCACTCCCGCATTTGGCTGGGCACTCGACTCATCAAGCTCAAGATGGACTGATGACCTCCCGCCCATATCCGCGTCGCACCCAGTCGCGAAGTGCTTGAGGTCCTCGTGTGAGTTGAGAGTGAAGAGCGTCACCGGCGCACGCAATGGCTCGTCCGCGCCGGTCATGCGCAACACTGTAGAGTCCGCTAATACTCAGCAGGATAATGCGTACTGTGGGTTGTGCATGCTCACTGCGCGACGCGCTGTCACGCATCAACTTGCTCGTCCGGTGTAGGTACTGTGGTAGTCTTGACATCGCGGTCGGTAATCAGAGCTTGAGCCTCGGGAGGGCCGGGAACGACAACCTCCCGCAGTGACGTCGGGACGGCGCCAAAGCGTGCCGATCACTGCGCGGCGCGAATCTGCGCGTCAAGACAGCTGCAGGTCGCCGATGACCTCCATCCTCACGACCCAACCAATTCATTGTCTTCACACTCATTGACTGTTTGCCCGTTGTTGAAATTCAATTTGCTATGTACAGATAATTTATGATGCAAACAAACTTCCCTCCAAGCAAAAGGCTCGTTTTATTCCGCAACCGCGGGCTTCCGCCACAACTCCGTCGCCCCATGCCCACAGCCACCAAGACACAAGGACCATCGTACAACGCGCAATTTGATCAAACTGGGGATATAAATCTGGTTTACAGTTGATACTCTTGCGCGATACGACACGCTTGTCTTCCTGGATTATACTGAAGATGGTGAGCTTGAGTGCTTCCAAAATACGTTATACTCTGATTGCTGTATCGTGTAGTGCTCGACGAGGACGGGCAAGCTACGCTGCAACGGTACACTAACAAAGGTGATAATTATGATCCAATACATACCGCTTCAGACCGCCTAAAGAAACTCGACCTTCGTCAAGACGGAATTGAGCGAGTTTTCGATGCCTTTGCCCGTACCCGGCTTACAGTCATGTCATGACGAAGGCGCCCACCTTGACTACCACCTTGAAATATGGAACGCTGTACGCTACCTGTATAAATCCAGGCACGCTGCTTTGTTGGCTCATGTACCGCAAGATCGTTGATGTTATCGGGCCATCGTATCCCACTGCACAAGCACGCTACCGACGCAGTGGCACGTGTCCGACGAAATGTCAGTGAGCTGTAAATAGAAGATTTTATCCTGGCTTACAAGGGCTTACATGACTTTCAGGTACAACTTCAGACCCGCGTGCTGTTGGAGCGGTGGTCATCCTCTCGGCCATTATGCTGGTAGACGCTGCCAGTGCGGCGTCTGCGAGCGGGAATAGCTTCTCACCTCCGCCGGCTCAGACCCAGGACCTCGAGATTGTAACTAAGAAAATCCGCATCCCACTAGTAAGGATCTGCTTACACCTGATTTTCTCTCTCGTCGTTGCTGATTGTGTGATGAAGCCTGTTATTAGGGTAATAGTCTATCAAGCCGAATTTTCTAAGTCAGGCTCGCGAATATTCGAGACAGCCTCTACCGCACGCATGTTGTGAGCAGAATTGCGTGAGTAATTCAATTCGGGACAATGAAGGCAGCGCTCTTGCGGAGCTTCGCGGGCGCAAATAATGGCACGGCGATATCCGTCTCGAGTTCTCAGGCCTCAGGCGGCGCCGGGTGGGACATCCTCCGCTAGCTCTGGGGCTCCATCCACTGGCCCTGCACCGCAGAGCACCACTTCCGCTGGAATCTTGAAGTGCGTATGACGTGCTGTGGTTCATCATGGCATCGGGCTGACTACACACCCATGCAGCCGATTTGCCATCTCGTCGTCGTGATGGTATTCTCCCGGTGATCGTGGTTCACATGCTCTAAGCGATTGTGTGCTGGGAACGAGCATCGGGTCTCGGATAATGGCTATTCAAATATTTATTTTGTAGGGACATCAGTGAGTGCCTATTTTTGAAGCCGCCGTGACTTGTATTGAAAGAGCTGTGCGGCGGCCTTTGCTAGCGCCATTGCGTGTTCCCCTGTCGAAGCAAACTCGTGGCTATCTAGTTGTTTGGCGTAACTAGGCGTAGTGAGCTCATCTGAAGATCATGCAGGTGCATACCTAGGTTTGATGGCGGCTCTGTGCAACCCTCTGAGACGTAAATTCGCTTATTTTCTCGTGTCCATGAGTACCGCGGTACCAATAACGCGTCTAATTCCATCAATCTTTTCAAATCGCGTAGTTTGCGGGGCTTCCCTGAGGCTTCTGAAAGGGTCCCTTGTGGGCGGAACGTTCGTTGGCGCGAGACCTGCGGATGATACGACTTGGAGACGCAGGTAAGCATGCGGTACCCAAGGATCGTGCTCGTGACGGATTTTCCATGTGCGTTGCTTTTTAGTCGTACTTAGCGCAAAGCACTGCTGACTCTCAGTCAGCAAGCCGCTGCCCAAGGCCTCCCGTTCTTCACATTTCAACCTTCAGATTTTCAGAGGTTAGTCGTCCTTCACACTACGTCCAAAGCACTGGAGCGAGAAGCATACGCATGACGTCCTCCGCCGATGGGGATCCCTTGTCTTACACCGGGCGCGGATGTATTGACTCCTGAGGCGCCCGGTAGACGTTTAGCCCTGAGGCCTGCCGGGCGATCGCAGACCTCCAGCGATGATGTGACCCTCCCTCGAGGCCTCGACCCTAAGATTTGAATGGAAATTAGGCGCAGCGAGAGTGTCTCATAAAAGACGCAGCCCTGCCGGACGCGTCTCGCTTTTTTGCCCCTCCTGCTGCCCAAACGCTGCTGCCTTAGAACCTACAATGGCAGGTCGTAAATTCAACGACGAGGTCGAAGCCAAAGAGTGGCTTCTCGCGGACGAGGACGGGAATGTTGTCAACGAGAAGGGTGAGATGACTGAGGCGGGTGAGAAGAGGGAGCACAGGCAACAGCAATCTCAGCGGGTCACGCCGTTACCAAAGCTACAGATCGCGGTGCTGCTGTGGTTCCAGTTGGGGGAACCGATGACCTCGCAGTGCATCTACCCTTTCATTAACGAGGTTCGTCTCTTCATTTGCACCTTGGTTGTTGATCTTCGTTTGACATGAGCTTAGCTTGTGAGCGAGCTCAACATCACCGGTGGCGATCGGAAAAAGGTGGGCTACTATGCGGGACTCATCGTAAGTCACTTATTCCTCCCGTTTCTCCGCACGCTTGCATGAGTACTTATCCTGCCCTGCGTAGGAATCACTGTTCTTTGCATCGGAAGCCCTATTCGTGTTGCACTGGAGCAGAGTTTCCGACCACATCGGCCGGAAGCCTGTGTTGCTCATTGGCATGGCCGGCCTTTGCGTCTCGATGATATGCTTCGGGCTGTCAAAGACATTCATTGGACTCGTGTTGAGGTAAAGCTTCAGATACTCCGTGAAGTGCATTGCTCATGCTCATCCCCGTGTAGTCGATGCCTTGTAGGCGCCCTGAACGGTAACCTAGGGGTCATCAAGAGCATGATGGCTGGTTCGTTTTCTGGCTCTTCTGATTTGGTGCACTTGTTGATTCTACCACCAGAACTTACCGACCACACAAATATGGCGCAGGCCTTTGCTTTACTACCGGTTATGTGGTCTCTGGGAAGTACAGTTGGGTGAGCAGACCGTGTCGCTTATGCTTCGTACTCATTCTTACCCGGGGTAGCCCACTGATCGGAGGCGTCCTGTCTAAGCCTCACGACCGATGGCCCGAAATCTTTTCGAACCCTTTCTGGGTGAAATACGCGTACTTTCTACCCTGCGCTGTCGTTGCTGCTTTCGCGGCGCTCACATTCCTCCTTACTGCAACGCTCTTGAAAGAGGTGGGCAGTGTTGTTCAACAGGGTCATCCGCATTTAAGCACTGACGTATCATCAGACTGTCAAGAAGCCTCGCAGCCACGAGGGTGCCGATCCCGAAAGGTTCGAGCCTAACTCACATGATGCGCCGCTTCCGCTCCGCGCGCTGTTAGTGCGCCCGGTGCTGCTCTCCGTCGCGAACTATGCCTCGCTCGCGCTCGTTGACATCATGTACCGCGCGATACAGCCTTTGTTCTTCTCGACTCCAGTCGAGCTTGGTGGACTCGGCCTATCGCCGGCGCACATTGGAATCATGCTCGCGACGCTGGGCATGATTAGCGGTGTGTTCCAGGGGTTCCTTTTCGCGAAGCTCGTCCACCGGTTTGGCCAGCGGTTTCTATTCCTGCTCGGCATGTTCATGTTCGGTATCGTATACCTGATGTTCCCCGTCATCAACTATGTCGCGGTGAGGGGCGGCCTGTCACCGCTTGTCTGGTTCCTGGTCGTGTTACAGCTTGGTCTGTCGATAGCGTGCGACATGACATATGGTGAGCACCCTCTGGCTTATTCCAGCTTGTCCATCTAACGTATGGCAGGTTGCATCTTCATGTATGTCAACACTGCTGCACCGAATCGGCATTCACTTGGCGCCACAAATGGCCTGGCACAACTGGCAGCATCAGCAGTTCGAGCTTTCGGCCCGGCTGTGTCGACATCGCTCTTTGCTGCGTCATTACAAAATCACTGGCTTGGTGGCTACGCTGTCTACGCCATCCTTGTATCACTTTCTGCACTCGGTCTTCTAGCGGGGAGGCAGTTACCGGTCGAGCTGTGGAACCGTTGAAGTTGCTGTGGCTTATTTCTGACTTGAGATGCGCGGTATACGAGATGTGGACACCTTTACTTGATACTTCTCAGAAATGAGCTGTAATTGTTAGATATACTACAATGTACACTATGCTTAGACTGCCTTTTCGCGCTGCTCGATCTCCTTAAACTGTCGTATAGAGTCTACAATACACTCCCTGAGCGTGTGGTATGTGAACCCCAATTTCTCGCTCGCCGTCCAGCCGTCGGCCCTGGGCCACTCCGGGACCGGCGCCCCAGGCGTGCCCTCTACAACCGCTTGCTTCGCCCAATCGAACTCCTCGCGCATAATGTCGGCAATGAGCTGGTTGGTGAAGCCTTCGGGCGACGCAAGTGTGAAGCGCATGTTGCTCACTTCGGGGCGGAGAAGCGCTTCGACGTGCGCGACCGCGACGTCTCGTACGTCGGCCCATATCACCGTACGGATAGGCGGGTAGGGGTAGGCGCCGCACGCGATGCGCCAGAGGTCCGTGACGCTGTGGTTGAGCTCGGCGGTGCGCGCGACCGGGTGGACGACGGGTCCGAAGACGAGCGGTGGGCAGATCGTGACGAGGTCGAACTGCGGCTTCTCCTCACGCACGCAGTGCCAGGCGCGGAGCTCCGCCTCCTTCTTTCCCACGCGGTATGCGGAAATGGCCGGGCCGGTGAGGCCTTCCTCGTAGGTGATTGGGTTCCAGTCTGCAGCGGTGAAGGTGAGGCCCGCGGGCGGGTTCGCGAGGAGCGAGGCATTGATGAGTGCAGCAAACGACGACGTGTAGATCAGCCTCTGCACGCGTGGCTCGCTCTTTGCGGCGAGCAGAACAGCTTCCGTGCCCCTGATTGCAGGCAGAATAAGGTCTTTTTCGCGGTCCAAGTCCTCAGACAAGGTAACAGGCTATTGCGGGTCGTCAGCACTGACGAAGCTGGAAGAAAGGAGGCACTTACGCTCGCGGTGTGAATGATAGCATCGACGCCTTTGACAGCGTCGTCGAAGCCGCCTGGCTCGGTCAGGTCCTTCACGAGGACAAAGTCCAGGCGCTCCGCGTACTGAGGACGTGCGCGGAGCATCTCGTCCACCTTGTGCTGCGAGCGAGCTGTTCCTCGCACACGGAGGCCACGTCGGAGAAGTATGTCCACTATGTGTGCACCTATGTACCCGGTTGCACCAGTGACTAGGACGTGTTCGCTGTACGAAATCAGTAAAGCACACAGACAATATCTGATCAGGGTTTGCATCTGCATCCACTCACATCTTCGCCATAGCTTCTTCTAGTGCTAGCGAGGGTACGAGCTAACTTCAAGTTTGCCACAAGTCGCCAGGTGCCTCGTTCTTATATATCGCAGAACCGGACTTCGCCTTGCCGCTTCGCCGGACGAGCACGCAAGCTGCACTGGGTGGTAAGCGCATTTTCTTTCGTCGCAAAATCAGTCAAAAATGGCCTCAGATTTCTTCGGGTTTCACCTGAGAGAAATCGAAGACAAGACACCAATTTTACTGTGTTTTAGATCTCTTTGGTTGCACCAGTTTCTCCCCAATTTGCGCCGGCGTGGAATCGGGGAAAAACTGGGCCTTATTTAGCCGCTTTTGTCTAGGTTTTATCCAGAAAAAATGTGCTTACTGTACCACCTTTGGGCACGCAAAGAGGCTGACTGAGAAAAAGACGCTGCCTGGCGACGCGTCCTAACGGCAGCTCATCGACCTCACCCTCCGTTACTTCCTGCTACTTCACGCAACAAATTGAAATTCAGCCTTGCGCAGGCCACCTAGTACGACAGGCTTTCGTCAGCATCTAACTTCCTGCAGAGTCGGACAGTAGTCGCGTGAAGCGCCAAGTTTCTGGGTACTTCTGGTCTGAAAGGATTTTTTCGAGCAGGAAAGGCTTTCTGGCGCACTTCAGACACGCATCGTGCCTGCCCCAATACTTGTCACTGCTGCCGTTCCCAAACAGCACTTTACGAAAGTGGCGCCACCAGGCGCATCATTTCTTTTGCAAGATGAGTGGGGGTACCGGAAGCTCTCCAATATGCGCAGGACCTGTGACAGTACGGACCAAGTGATTATTGCTAACTTGCCTGTTACTCGTGTACAACAGGCATCATTGATGTACATACATGTGACTAAAATGTATCGCAAATGAGATGATGTCAGAGGGCGACAAGCCGAGAACCCAACCAATTGTGTAAGTGCAACGTACGAAATGCGCGTTCAAGTATGACGCGGCGCGAAGCGGCAGCATTATCATATGTAACGAATGTGCGACATGAAAATAAGGCAGTGTGGGAAGATGAAGCCGTATGTGAGTGAAAGACGAAGAACAAGACCAGCCACTGGTGAGACCAGCCAAGCAGGAAGAGTGGAATTCCAGCCCCCGAAGGAGGCGCAAATATGAAGTAAAGCTCCGGCCAAGCGGAGGGAATGAGATGTTATTGCATCTCACTATGCACTGTACCCGCATCGTGCATCGTGGACGGAGTGCTGGGGGTAAAGCCTCGGGCCTTGACCTGCGACAGCGTTTGAGACTGACAGGGCACTTGGCTCCTTGGAGGACACCGTGCCCAACGAAAGGGCATTGCATACCCGTGGCCCCGACAGCGACGTGTGGACAACTTCGCGCCCTTTTCCCGATCTGCACCTCGTGTCACGCGAAAGAGAGGACGACCGCTGCGACATCGTTTCATTGGCTTCGCTTGGCGTTCTCCTGCCCTCCAATCTCTCCGTGTCTCGCGATGCCGTAGACTCGTCGGACCCGTCAGGCGCGGATTTGAGACTCACAGAGCTGCGAGAACGCTTTCGTGGGTTTGGGAGACGCGAAGCCTGCGAGAAAATGGGGCCACTGATGGTGTTGCTCCACCGTTTCTTCGCGAGTGTGGGCGGCACAGGTGGATCCCGAGGCTGGAGCCTTGGATGTGTGGGAGAGTGACCGCGAGCCTCTGGTCGTGAGAGCGGTAGCGAGGGTGGGAGCGTGGGTAGGAACACAGCAGGAAAGGACGGCAGGAAGGGAGAGGTGATGATACTGAGCGAGGTAGAAGGGACGTCTGACTCCGCGCTTAAACCCGAGGGCGGGAAGGGGTACTCGAAGCGGGGTGAGACGTCGAATGGCGTACCAACAATCGACGATGGTGAGTGCAAAGACAAGTCTGACAGGTCCAGACGAGGCTTGAGCGAGATTGACTTGGATGACGATCTTAGCAAGCGATTCAACCTGTAGGATGGTGAGTCCGACCCGCTCCAAAGGGAATCAAATGTGATGCGCACCTCGGTTACTGCGCCCAAGCCGTCGCCAACGATCACCGGGACAAGAACGCTATCGTCGAGGTCTGGATCGGGAGTAGGACTACCTAGAGCATCTCCCGCGATTGAGACGACCGCGGGGTGTTGGAAGAGCTCATCATCACTGTCCAGCGAAATGAAGGTCGGTGGAACAGTCGGCATCAAAAGACCGGTGGTGGACGTGGTTAGAGATACGCTTCGCGTCGACCTGGACAGCGCGGAAGTGGTGGTTGTCGACGATGTCGAGAGACTGGACGACAAGGAGTAGCAGCGGGGCGCGAGAGCTAGCTGAAATACTCTGGCTCAGGCTTGACGTCGAAATACCCTCCAAAGTGGAGCTCGATATACATATCACGTCCAGAACGTTCCTGCGAAAGAGTATGCGGGGTCCTGCAGGCACGTACCCGTGAGTTGCCGGCGGCACATTGATGGACCCATTGGCACCACCTACCGCAGCCGTCCGAGAGTCGGTCACTCCGCCCAGGTTGGCCTCCAACCGCCATCTCCGGCGCACAGTCTCGACCACGGCGTACTAGCACAGTGGCGAAATGTCTGCAAAACATCCTCAGGAAAAATTATTTATCTCGTCAGTCAGCCTCGTGTGCACCATGCCAGGTGACCGGCTTTATGCGGTCCTTCGCTGTCTCCTCCCTTGCGCGTCGTGGACCGTGTACGCGACACGGCCCGGAGAGTGCGTTTTCCAGGGCTCAAAAGCTAACGGCGGCCAAGCTGTGTCCTCTGTCTCTCCGTTCTGCCTTCTTTCCCCATGACTGCGCTCTCCTCCATCAAGGTTGCCCTGGGACGCACTGCGTTCATCACTGGCGGTGGCCAGGGTATTGGCCGCGCTATTGCCCTCCGTCTCGCCCGTGACGGCCACGATATCTCCATCGCGGACATTCCGGCGGCGCAGGCGCGAGTCGACGAAGTCGTCAAGGAGATCCAGTCATACGGACGCAAGGCTATCTTTGTCACGGCCGGTGTGTGCTAGCGTCCCGTTCTCGCAGCCACTATCGCTTAACCGCGCGATAGACGTACGAGAGCCAAAACAAATTTATGCGGCTGTCGAAGAGACTGTGGAAAAGCTTGGCCCTAATCTTTTTGTCAGCGTCGCCAACGCCGGTGTCACTCAAGTCAAACCACTCCTTGAGTGCACGCCCGAGTACGTTCACGTGGTGTTCATTTAAGCTTTATCTGCATTCAATGGCGCGATCGTAGGTTCATGGAGAACGAGATCCGTATCAACCTTCTCGGCTTCATGAATACACACATTGCTGCTGCACGGCAAATGGTGAAGCAAAAAGGTGGCGGGCGCATTCTTGGCGCAGGGTCAATCGCCTCGTATCGCACAGCAGGTGTGAAGATCATCTTCATTCATTGCCCTTGGTCCGAATTTGAGCTCGAGAAGCTACCATGTTCTCACATGCCGGTCGTGGGTCGTGGAGTGATGGAATCCCACGGATTGTATCCTGAACAGTGCCGTTTTTTCAGATTGCAGGATTCCGTCTTGGTGGAATCATCATGCGTGTCTACATGCAAATTTGTCGTGTTCCTTGCAAACGGCATGTTTGCGTTGCGCTGATGATATGTCTTATCTGGAGACGCACAGCATCGGCGTCTCAATAATGTTACGGCCCTGTATGACAGCTTCTATCAGTATTCGTGTCTCTCTACTTTCTTCATCCACGATGCTTGTCCCTTCCCGACGCTGACACACCTTCTCCCGGTCCCTAGAGAATCTCGGTCCCTACGGCGCGACCAAGTTCGCCGTTCGTGCTTTCACCGAGGCCGCTGCGAGGGAGTGGGCGCAGTACGGCATTCGCGTGAACGGTAGGTCCCTGTGCCGTCTTCAACTACTACGTCCGCTGAGAACCTTGCCTGTCCTTTTTTCCTTTCTTCCTGCAACCTTCTCTGACGACCCTCTCTTCTGCACCGTTCCGTCTTACTCGACGCTTAACTTCCGTCCGCCCTCACCGCCATTGCACCCGTAGCATACGGCCCCGGTATCGTCGACACGCCAATGTGGGATCACATCGACCGCGAGCTCGCGCGCATCGAAGGCATTGACATCGGTGCGGCCAAAGAAATTCGCGTCAAGCGCGATATCAAGCTAGGTCGTATCCAGCAGCCAGAGGACGTCGCCAAACTTGTATCGTTCCTCGTCTCAGACGAAGGCGAGTACATTACGGGCCAAACAATCAAGACGTGTGGCGGGGCATCGCTCTAGAATTGCGCCGCCTTCACATAGGAATTGTTCCGTGACCAGAAATCAGCGGCGTTAAGACGCATTGTACATCTGATGCTTAGATATGGTATAGACTTTCCTCTGGGTTCATGGGAAGGGCATGCGACTATTCTTGTTTACACCTCGGAATGAATGGATGTTTTATCAGGTCGCGCATCACTCCGAGAGGGACTGCATCGTCTGTTCAGGGTCGCCAGCTTATGATCGAGGGAGTTGCGGCAGGACGGATCGACCGCGGAAATGCCCGTTCACTCCTCCGCTCATCCGCCAATCATGTCAGCCAGCATGTCGAATAGGCTCACATCGGGAGTGGGCCCGCGGGTTGACTACCGCTCGGGTCGCAAAGTTGGTGCGAAGCTATCAGATTGAAGCATTCGTAGGATTTAATGCGCGGACATATCTCGTTGAGCGCGTGAACTGTACCGGACCTATCGACAAAAACGAACGCCACGGGTCGTTGTAGCGTCTCTCTCTTCATGGTAGGCATCCTGCGCATTACGGCCTATTACCGGCAGAGGGAAGAAGGTACCGTGTGGTACTAAGAAGCGATGCGCCGAGCAGGTGACTTGTCGGTATCGCGCTAAAGCACCCACGGCACAGCGAGTGAATTATTATAATACGGTAATCCCTAAATTAAGACAGATGGAGGGGATCTTGTTGCCCCGGTCAAGCCGAAATCTAATGAGCCACAAGTAACAAGAGTCGAGCACGTCGCCAAAGGGAGAACGGAAACACCAGACGTCGCGGAGCAGCCACAGGATCAGAACAGCCGATAACGTCCCTCGCATCGACTGAGTAACTACGAGGCCCGCAGGCTGTTCGATTGTGCCCTATCAGAACAACATCCGTCAGCGACCCCGCACACGACAAAAAGGCATGTCTGCGTACCAGTCAGGTTATACCGCAGTGCACCAGCAACGACCAATGACTTCCCATGATCGTCCACAAGACGATGCAGGCAACGCCGACAGACGGACACAGACCACAATGGCAGACCAAGACCAAGCAAACAAGATACTACGCTCATGACCCACGACGACGCAGATGATGGAGGAAACCGAGGCGAGAAACAGCCGACAGACGATCGATGGAGCGGTCGCCAGAGGAGGGGGAAGAAGACCAGACCGCCGAAGGAGGCTAACCGGACACTCCGCCCAACCGACCGAGAGAACGATCGAGAGTGCTCTGCAACACGCAGGCACTTGACGATTGCCCCACTCAGTCCGGGTTTCGTGAACGTCGTCGATCGGCAGATAGCTAGTAGGCTTCCATGTCGTCTAGAGTTTGTCGAGTCATTGTCGGCGGTGAGTCGTCCGGAGTCGTCGAGAGACCAGCGAAGCCATGAGAGTTGTCGAAGAGCAGTGACTAGTTGCACTTGGTGTTGA